GATTCAAGATAACTATACCAATCCATAATCAAAAATTCTGGTTAAAAATTTAATCTCCGGTTAAATTCAAAGTTGGTGTTATGAAAATCTGAGACAAGAATGTGAGATCGGTTTTCCTCGAAAATCAATCGTTTTCAACTGTCAATATTTCCAAAACAGTTGAACTTATATTGGGATTAAAATTTAGTACCAAAATGTATGGAATTAAAAACACTCCAAAATGATGTATCTCTTCACACCGCTTCCCATTCCAGATTTTCTAGGGGGTGGCTTTGCGGGCTGGGGGGTTGGAAGGGGGAGATGAATTTATTATAGTCGAAGTGTTTCAGGAATTTTTTCGAAAATTTTCCAACTCCAAGATAATAGGGGTGGTAAGTTTTAAAATCAACACCCGTATACAACAAGTCTACGTACTATGTATAAATAAATGTTCAAAGAGAATCATTGCAATTGGTCACGATTTATAAACATCCCACATAATGTGTCAAAATTTTACTTCTTTGACACACAGGTACCTAATGTCAAAATCGAGTCAGATTGATAAATCAGTGATGAACATAATAGTTTTAATAAACTGTCAAGGGAAAAAAATATTGGTTTGCTAAAATGGTTTACCATATGCTTAACAATCACGAAAAGGCAAGAGCCAATTGAAATGATAGCACAAGGTGAGACAATTCGAGCAGTTCTCTTAGCCCTAGGTTCTGACAGTAGCATAATCATGAATTTAAAGAGAAAATGGGTTGACAGGGGTTAAAATATCACGTACCCCGCTGCACCAAATAGATTTATTAGTTAGAATTTTGACTTAATACAAGGGATGTAAAAAAAGTATGTGCCAAATAAAATGATTCCTACTGTTCCTGCGGAGACTGCAATTTTTGTTTGTTAGAGGTAAACAAGTTATATGCGATGTTCGGTATACCACCCCAGTTTCACTGTATTTCAGTAAAATAAAAGAATTACTAGAGGTAATAAATAAGTACTTTGCCAGCTTCTAATTAATGTAAATATGCAAGTGTCATCAGTCACCAGAGGTGAGTATGAGTATGAACATAGGTATGAATATGAAAATGATCTAAAAAAATAACAAGTAGGTAATAGAAGATAAGTTTACTGCAACCACTATGACTATGTATCTACAAAAAGAAAATATATTTACCCCATACTGGTGGCGCTCATGTAAAATTCCTCTTCCTCATCCACGCTAGACGCTGTAGGTGAAGGCGACGGAGGAGACATGATTCTGTGTTGTCTGAAGTCTTGTATGGCCTCATTCAATGCCCACAACTGAGCCAATAGTGCCAAATCTTGCTGACGCAAACTGTACATTTCCCGCCGCAAAATGGTCAATTTATTGTCCAAATTTGATTGATGCACATTCGAAGGTGTTTGCATTATCAATAATCCGGATAAGGATTTGGGTAGGGGGGGCAAGCCACCTTGGACTTGGTCCATTATATTTATTTATTGTTAAATTTCCACTCTTGCCGGCACATGGGACACTGTTGATTGACAGATTGAGAATGTAGCCATTTAACGATACAATGCATGTGGAAGCAATGTGAACATTCACCCCAAACCAATGGGCAATCGTCGCCTGGTAACTTGCAGTCAGGACAACAGCCGTCAAATGGCATACGACAAATACCACAATTGTCGTCGTTAGCCACCCACTTCCATGATGCGACGCCAGTCCAGTTTTTGATTTTCACCTTCATCGCATTTCCAAGAAAGAGCCCCGACTTTGGAGAAAGAAATGTCTATTGTTAGATAAAGGGGGCGCCCTTATTGGCTGGTAGTAGCGCCACGTGGGCGATGACAGAATTATATGCATCAACCTCAAATGTCATTTGTCAATAATTATTCCAGGACTTCTCTACATCCAAATGCATTGTCACTGTAGAGGCTTGAATTGCCTAGTTCATTTGTAGGTAATGCAATAATCAATTAGTTGACAATTGACATTTGATGTTATGAAGCTTTTGACGTTAGCTAAGTTACAGAAAACGTTTGTATATCCATTTTATTTAAAATACAAAACATTCAAAATAACTACCAGTAACCTGGTTAACGCCTTTTCACTTATAAATTTCCCAAACAAAAGCCACATACAAAAATATGAGGGGTTTTCAATATTCATGTTATCTTTGCTCTAAATGTTAATAGCTGATTGGGTAAATGAAGAGTTATTATTTTATAGTATTTAAAGCAGAGACAAATCAAAATTCCTATACTTAAATATAGTAGAGATTTTTTTCCTAAACTCTGAAGTGTCATATCTCTGGATATTTTGCAAAATTGCTCTTATAAAGGAATTAAGTATTGGTTTTAAAACAAGATTGTTTTAGCTAAATATTATATATATTATTCTATTAATATTTAAACACATTTTAATCCTCTTTATAACACTACGGGCAGTACTAGACCATCTGAATTAAATAGGAATTATTTGGGTTAATTTTGTTAAAAACTTCATGTTAGCAGAGAGAATATTCAATCTATTTTATGGTAGAATTGACTACAAGAACTGCAAACTGCTCTTGGCTCTTTCTTGAGCCAAAAAGAGTCTCACATAGCAATTTCAAATCTTCAAACAAAAACAATAAACTTTGTTGTTTGGGTCTTGTATGTTAATAACATCAATAACAAAAAATTTAAAACCAGTTAATAGTCATACAGATCAATAAGCTAGATAATGAGAGGAATTTCAAGGAACTTATGGATTCTCTGAAGATGGCGTACTTCCAGAGAGAACATTTATTGTGAGATCGGATCTGGTAAACAGGACTAGTTGGTTTAATAACTTTAACTTGAAAAAAAAATGTAAACTTTCCCAAAAGGTCTCTAACTATGAGAAGTAGGTGTACAAATTTTTGGCAGGCCTTAAGGCAAGAACAGTAGGTACACAGCTGTTTAAGTGCAGCCAGTGCAACACAATCGATGGAGCCTTTGAGTCAAATAGATTAGACATCTGCAGCGCCAAGTTGATCTCCTACACGGTGTGGCAAATGTTTGATCCAAATCAGTTTCGTTTAAAACCTGGGTGGTTGCTGTAGGCTGTTGAAAACATAAACCTACTTTTGACGAATCGTGTAGCTGTGCAACACATTATTTGTTTGAGTGTCACCAGCATTCTCAAAATTGATTTGATTCGAGTCAAAAATACCGACTAGGGCTCAAAAGTCAGCAAATGAGAATGATAAATGTCTGACATTCGCTCGTAAACTATCTAGTGTCCAACATTGGAGTGGATTTGTAGCATCGTGTGACGACAGCTTAAGCCTGGTCAGATATGTTCAGAACTTGTCAGGACAAGAGAACGACTTAGCAGGAAGAGCGGTAGAACAAAAAGTAGACAAGAGAAGAACCACCAAGACCTAGAAGAAGTTGGATTGGAGAAAATTATTATTTTGGAGAAATAACCTCAGTTAGCAAAAAAGAGAATCAATGCAACAAAACTAACCCAAAGATTATTTTTTGGGATGTACCCGAGGATGTACCTTAGCCCATAAACAACTATTATAAAAGGAACATTAACCTGAATACAAAAAAAAATACAAAATACTTTTGTTACAAACATAAACGCATACATTTAAAAAATAATAATAAATAAATACATAAATAATAAAACGTGTGTTGTGTTTCAATCTTAGTGTAGGTCAATCAATGGTGTAGGGTAGAAGAAGTTGAAAATAAATAAGTAAATAAAACAACAACAAAAGCTCAAACAAAAGGTTATTTTCTAGTATAGTCCGAAAGCTGTAATTTGTAGAATTTTTTTCAACAATACCCAATGTTGGTGGGGCAAATGCCTAAAAAAAGTTAAAGTTAAGTATATATTTATCTCTATATTCTGTAGGGGCTATACTAAATAATTCCCACCTGGTAATTGTTTACAGGCCCACAATAAAATTTGAGTATTTTTTTTTTTAAATATTATTTTTGTATCTAAATGCAAAGGGAATAAATAGGTACCTATTTTGAGTTATATTATATGGCACTAAGGTCAAAAGTCAAAAAAGTTACAGTTATTTTATTATAGGCTGACATGAACCACCAAGGCTTGTATGAGGAAAAAAATCAAGGAGGAAAGTTACATATAATTTTAAAATTTGATTATGTATAAACTTTTTATTTCTATTTATTTTAGAAATAACTAAAAAATAAATTATACATTATACTCCAGGCAACAGTTTTTACTAGCTCAAAAAGGCGACAAGCGAGCTCGCCTAACAGCTCGCTAGTCATTCCTTCAATCATCAGTGAAAACTGTTTTAACCTGGCTAATAATGTAAAATATTAGGTACTAAATTTTATTTAAACATTGATAAACTACGAAATTGAATGAAAAGATTCTCAAACTCTGGTGTTTATTGAGTATAATTTCAATAGCATGCAAAGTAGGTAATAATCGAGGTAATAATATTAACTTTTTCCTAACTTTTATTCAAGCCCTAAATTTATGATATTGAATAAACAAATTTGAAGTTCGGTGTGTGGGCTATAGTTATTTATTCTCGAATTTATTTTTAAGAATTTGTGCCAGATGAAAATATTAGCTACTACTCAAAATGCTTTATGTATCCCGACAATAAATTGATGATATTTAAATAAAAAATCTCAAATTTTGGATTTGGAGTTATACTAAACTCCCGACTGAAACTGTTACCAAACAAATCATAGAAAAGTAATACAAAATTTGTAAAAACAATGAGACTAGTACAAATTTCGCTTACATAAGTACATCAGTTTTTGGTTCTAGTTGTTTTGCAAAGAATCTGTTTGCCAGCAATAAACAAAGAAGCCAAGGCAAAGTTTGATCTACCCAGGCGTTATTATTTGACCCTGAATCTGGTTCAAATAGGGCTCTAGGAATGTTTTATAAGTAGAGCCCAAGCGAGTAAAAAGGGGCCCCGAATCATTTAACACAAGGAAAACATGTTATTGACATTCTAGCAAAAGAAATATTTAAAAAAAAATAATGTCATGTAACTTACCTCCTTCCTATGATTACTGCACCCTTCCGCGATGAACAATTCATAAATTACAACCCACTTTTAATAAAAATCACACCAAATTTGATCAAATCGTACATTACAAATCGATTTAATGTAGAATAATGAACAAATGAACCAATTTTTATGGCGCGAATTGTCAAATAGATATGTCAGTCATATGTTTGACAATTACTTGACTTTTCTACGCTGGTACGAGGGTACGGTCCGCTTTGGTTGCTTGATTGCTTATCGGCCTCGTTTTTGGTAATCGTATTGGTGTATCACCATTGCCGACTTCATTAACTCAGTCGTCAGCTGTTTGCGCCAGCGGTCCTAGTTTAGAATTTAAATTTTTGAAGAAAAATATCATTTAATTTTGATTAACATAATAGGCAAAGAGAAAAATGCAAACGAGATCTAAAAAGGAGTTTAACAGAAGTTGTTTTAGGGCGGGTATTATAAAACTACTTTGAGAGTTAACTTAAAGTTAACTTCTGGAATTAATTCAAAAAGTTAACTTCAAGTTAACTGTCAAAGCAGTTTTATAATACCCGCCCTTAGAATGTTAATTTGATGTGGTAAAAGCAAGTATGCATAAAGCAAAAGTTCGCGGAATCATAACCTGTGAGGCAAACAGCCTACGTCAAGGCGAGGAACGACATGCTGCTACGTCACAACTGGTGATTTGGCGTTTTGGGGGTCTCAGATTTGATCTTCACAGGCTTTATGAGGATAGGCTATCCTGTAGTAAAGTATACCTATTTTCCTTGACCTGGTAATGAGTAACTTGATGACGCATCTGGGGTGCCTTATGGAGATTTGCATTATGATGAGGCACCCCAGTTGACGTCATAAAGTTATGGCAACCTACCTCTCTCAAACAACCTTGGGTACGGTCGATGATCGTAACGTTACGGTTGTTTGAAACTGGTTAGAACCTATCTAATTGGGGCGCGTTGAGATTAAACAGCCCCGGCAAAGTCCGGTGCAGAACGTTACCCGATAGAGGGCAATGAGAATACACACTCTAAGGGCGGGTATTATAAAACTACTTTGAGAGTTAACTTAAAGTTAACTTCTGGAATTACATGTAATTCAAAAAGTTAACTTCAAGTTAACTGTCAAAGCAGTTTTATAATACCTGCCCTTAGGACTTCAAATTAACTTTTTGAATTACATGTAATTCCAGAAGTTAACTTTAAGTTAACTCTCAAAGTAGTTTTATAATACCCACCCTAAGAGTGCTTATCGGCCTCATTTTTGGTAATCGCCGCCATATTGGTATGTTACCATTTCCGACGAACTAAGTCGTGAGCTGTTTAAACAGCCTTACGTCAAGGCGAGAAATAACATGCTGCCTACGTCACAACACAACTGGTATTGGCGAGGTGGGGAAGGGGAGGATTTGTTACACACAGGCCTTAGTGAGGATAGGTCATCTTGTAGTAGTAGTGTCAGTGTGTATCATCCTTGGATGGAGGGTGCCAATGAAGCGAGGATAATACACACAACTAAGGATTGCTTATCAGCCTCGTTTTTGGTAATCGCCGCCATATTGGTGTGTCACCATTTCCGACGTCATTAACAAGTCGTCAACTGCTTGCACTGGGGCGAGTTCAGAAATGACACACCCAGTGTGAGTGTGACACCGGTGCGACGCCCAAGCTGTTCAAAAATGCTAGACGGTGCTATAGGCCCAATGGCCAATTGTCAATTCAGGCACACCCATAAAATCGCACTCGCACCCTGTGCGTTATTTCTGAACTCGGCCCTAGGGGCGCGCTTAGGAATGACACACCCAGTGTCAGTATGACACCGGTGGGCGGTGCGACGCCCTAGGGCGGTTACACACGGACGTGGATGTCTTAATACATATACGTGCATACATCAACGTACAACCAAGAACGTGCATGGCATTTTTGTACAGACGCTCGCACAAAACTGCAGTCTTGCTATTCTTGCTACAGTATTCCGAGTGTGCATACAAAATTGCACATTCAAAAACGCGACGATATTTTGCATACACATTGATGTTTTTGTTTGCACGTTCATGTATGTGCGTACATGTTTTCAGACATCCACGTCCGTGTGTAACCGCCTCTAGGTGTTCAAAAATGCTAGACGGTGCCATGGACAATGGGCCCAATGGCCAATTGTCAATTCAAGCGCACCCATAAAATCACACTCGCACCCTGTGCGTTATTTCTGAACTCGGCCCTGGTGATTTGGTGGCTGGCATAAGGGCTAGGAGGGATTTGTTCCACGCAGACCTTATGAGGATAGGCTATCCTTTAGTAGTAGTGTGTATCATCCATGTCAGTGAAGAGTTGAAATGCTTTCATTTTCGGAAGATGCGGTTGTGTTAGTGATTGTTATGAATTTCGAAGCACAAACAGAACCAGAAAGAAAAAGAGCCACCTTTTTTAAATAGAGTAGAGTAGTGATGATGTCTGTGCCTTCTGTTCTTTATAAAATAAAAAAAACAAGTGACGACACGTGTTAAGAAGTGAAACTTTTTAAAAACTATTTCCCCCTCATACACTTTTAAGGCGTATGAGTCGGGGTAAAGACGAGTACCACACATAAGACCAAAAGAGAGTCGCGTATCTGTAGTGACGTCACAAGGGTATCGGCGACTGATAATCCTCTTTGCTTATAAGCCTTTTTGTGTCAATCAATGGCTGTCTTTCTCCGTCTCGTATAACGAAATGGGCCTAAACGTCAAATATCAGGCCGCCGCCTAACCGTGCGTTCGGTATTTTGATCTGAGTGCTCCGAGCATAAATTTACTGTTCGTTTATTTAGAAATTGTACTCGGTGCAGACTCATTCACGTTCGTTTATCAAAATTTTGAGACCTCTGATACAGCGTTTAAAGCTTACTTTTCATGCATCCGTTTTTCCGTCAGTCCGTTGATCCGGGAGTATTCCTATTGGTCTAATTGGGCGCCTAAAAATTGGACCAATAGGAATACTTCCGGATCAACGGACTGACGGATAAACGGATGCATGAAAAGTAAGCTTAAAGCCTAGTACTCATAACTGCGAAATTCGCATTTTTTTGACATTGCGTTGACAATTTGACGTTTGATACACGCATAAAACATCAAATTCTCAACGCAATGTCAAAAAAATGCGAATTTCGCAGTTATGAGTACTAGGCTTAAAGCCTACTTTTCATGCATCCGTTTTTCCGTCAACCCGTTGATCCTGAAGTATTCCTATTGGTCCAATAGTTTGGCGCCAAAATATTGGACCAATAGGAATACTTCCGGATTGACGGACAAACGGATGCATGAAAAAGCTTAACTGCTCTGTGTGCTCGCCGGTCACGTGATTACGGCTCCGCTCTGCACGCTTTGCTCTTTGAGCAAAATACCGAACGCAAGGTAAGAAGTTTCACTTCAAAAATACAAAAAAAAGTAATTAATTACCTACCTTCTACCTTGCATCAACATAATAGGTCTGTTTCTGCAGAAATCACAAACCAGTCAGAGTGAATTTCATTGGTTGAAACTAGTCGTGTCACATTCACACTGGGTGTTTCATTCCTGAACCCGCCCCAGCAGTGTGCACTCAATCCTTGTGTGTCATTTCTGAACTCGCCCTTGAGTTTTGACGCATACGGCAATGTAGCAAACTGTCAAGTCAACTGTTCCAAGCTCCCAACAACCCAAGAACCCAATAAAATTTGAAACGTTTTTCAGACTCAGATAGAACGCTGAGCGGCCCAACCAATACAACATTCTTAAATAATGACTGAGAAGTCCGCAAAAGACAAAACGATATCGGCGCAATACGCCGAATTAAATAAATTCAGCCAAAATGAGGATTTCGAAAGGGCCCTGAAGGCTGCCAATAAAAGTAAGTGTCCCAAAAAATAAACATATGGTAACTTAACTAGTTTTTTTTCTCATTATGATAGTTCTCGGAGTAGCCCCACAAGAATATTTAGCGTTCCATTGCAAAATCGTTTGCCTAATTCAGCTAGGCAGGTTCGATGAGGCTATAGGACATATTAATAAGAATCCAGAATATTTACAGTGAGTACAAAAATAATCGGAATACTTAGCTTAATAACAAACTGAATCTATTGGAGTGTACAATTGGTTTAGTTCATGAATAATTTGACCTAAATGTAGCACATAACGCCTTAAGGTACCTAGGTCAAGAACAGACAAAATAGGGCCAGTATGGTTCCTTCATTATTCCTGGGAAGCCTTTAGCAGTTTCTATTTTTGTGTTCTCGGTTCGAGAGGCATTTCTGAAAGATGTCGAGCATGATGCCTCTAATTCCATAATATTCTAAAACATTGATGAGAGGGTGTGAGGCACTGTGTCGAACGCTATTGCTGGCTCCGACTACTATTGTCCTGTCACCAGCATCCATATTTCCTCCAAACCTTCAACTATCTACTGAATAGGAAGTTGTTTACTTCAAAGAAATCAACAATTCTGTCTTTTAAGAGTATGCTTCTCGATGCTGAATAAATAGCTATTTCGCCTTCGCGACTACGCTGTTTTAATTAAAACAGTTGCATCTAGGGAATTTTAACAAAAATTATTTTTAAGAACGTACTTTTGTGCTTGCTTGACCAGTATTCCTTTTTTCGATTTTTCTCATTTTTCATCAAAAAATTTTCATAAAATGAGAAAAATCAAAAAAAATTTACTGGTCAAACAAGCACATAAACATATCCTTGAAAAAAGTTATCGGTTAAAATTTCCTAGATGCAACTGTTTTATTAAAACAGCATAGTCGCAAACGCGATTTTCAGCATCGAGAAGCGCACTCTTAATACCTTTTTGAATATTTTTTCCTCAATTTTTTCCAAGTTACTATAATGGGGATAATATGTCCACAGAGTAGTCCAGTAGTCCAGACTTTTGGATTTCTTTAGGGAATCCAAAACCACATGACTTTTGACAAGCAAAATGCCGCTTGGTTGGACTTCCATCAAGCTAGCCTCGAGTAGAGCATATTGCGATAAATTAAAATATTTCTAGAATTTTCCGCACAATCAAGAAATTTTATAATAAAGGAGGTACCACTTAAAAAATAAAGGTGATATTAGGTTTGTTTCTGCAGAAATCACAAACGAGTCAGATTGAATTTCATTGGTTGAAACTAGTTTTCTGACTGTTTTCAACCAATAAAATTCGCTCTGACTGGTTTCTGATTTCTGCAGAAACAGACCTAATATCTCGAGCAAAAAAAAATCGTCGTGTCCGAGTGGTTTTCTGAAAACGCTTTCATTTATTTCATTTTGAATTTATTCTATACTTTATGTACATACTGTATATTTTGAAAAATACAGAGTCAATATTCATCAAACTTACTCGATCCCCCAGGCATTGGCCAAAGGTAGGGAAGTGCCCATGTTGGAATAATAAATAATTTTAATAATTAATACCAATAATCAACATTATTAATTAGCTTAAATTATTCAAGTTTGGGCTAGTTATTTATTTCAGAGATTTTATATCTTGTCAGCAAGAAGTGTTTTAGTTTCTTTTTTTTTTCTATTTAGTTAATGCAACATTGTTTAATGTTTTGCTAAAGAATTGGACTTTTCATTACTAAAGTTTCTTCCAATTAAATAATGAGTTAATCTCTAAGATCTATCCATGGATAATTAATATTTTATTGATGGGCTCCACTTGGACTAGTATAAGTACCCAAACTTTTTATATTGAGTAAAAATTCAAACAAATTGTACAAGAAGTACCTACTTTTCACCCCTAGAAAATGCCAGGATCGCATTGTAATTTGTAAAAAAAAAAAATATTTTCTTGGCTATCTAATATCTAATAATTTGAATCTGTTCACTTTTGGAATTAACCAAACACTGGTAGCATCTACAAATTATTCATAAATAGAAATTAATTCCAATATAAATACATGAAAATATAACTCAACCCTTGACTCAACCCCTGACTGATGAAATGTGTTTGATAAGTTCTTGATTTGTTGTACGAGTCGTAAGTACTTAGATGCGATTGCGGTGTTAGAATTGATTAATGACCTTCCTTTTGAAGACATTTTTAGCTTTTGGTTTTGTTGAAGATGCAAGTAAAGATGTTAGGTTTCCTTCAGGCAGATCATGAATTGATTGTTTTGGTTGTTTGTTTCAACTGTTAGATAGCTAGGTTGTTAGGTTCCAAATTATTCTTTATATTTATCATTATTGGATTGGGCAGTGGTTTGTTACATTTCAAAAATCTTGATTGAGTAATAAAACAGTTCTATTAATTTCTATTCTAGAACAGCGCTTAAATAATAACTAAACCTATGATATCCTACAATGTTGAACATTTCTGGATTTGACATTCGAAAGCATTTTGTTAGTACAAAAATATCACAGTATGTTAAGTTAGTTTTTAGTGTTAGTGTTGGAATTATCTGAAATCTCTCTAGCACATAGTTTCTCATGACGAAAAGGGAAGCTACTAAGGCCGTGCTCGGGTTTGAAAAAAGGATGGTTCTAAAACGGTTGAAAACAATCACACAGTTTATTATTGAAATTTGCTTGGAAATTTGTGATGCTAGAGCCCTTGTCATTTTTGTTGATTGATAACTGTGCGATTGTTTTGAACCGTTCTAGAACGGTCCTTTTTTCAAACCCGAACAGGGCTTCAGAGTACACCTATAAAATCGAATATCGTTGATAATCGTCGAAAAATTTTCAATTTCCTGGCAGAGGCAGAATTCGAAAAATTTTAGTGAAGAATTTGTTGCTATTTAATTGCTAATTATTTACCAAATTTTTTTTTATTTACTCTTGCTGATTTCGAAAAAATGCGACTCTGCCAGCTTGATATCAAGCTAGCAGAAAAAAAAAAAATCCCAGTGGAATAACAAAAGTAGTGGGGAGTTTGCTGCTAATTATTTGCCATATTTTTAATCTTTTTTCGATTTTTTTACTCTTGCCGGTTTCGAAAAAATGCGATTATACCAGCCTGACATTCAAGCTACCAGAAAAATGTCATTACATATTATTTATATTTTGAACCAAGATACCTAATTATGCATGGAAATCTATGGCTATTTTATTGATCCGATCATTAAGTAGAGGAACCAACTTTCGAAAACTCAAGTTCTTCATCTTTTCATTGTTCATCAAAGCAATGCGCGAACAAAAAACGATAGTCACAATATAGAATACATTTTTTGAGCTGATGATGATATATATTTTTAACTGTTCAAGGACCGGTTTATTCATATTCAGAGAAACTTACTGATAAAACTGTCTAGGTAAATTCACCAATCTCTAATCCTATTGGTCGGCGGATAACTGGCTGACCAATGGGATTAAAAATTGCGTTTTTATCCCTCAGATTGCATTACATGACAGTTTATCAGAAGATGAATAAACCAAGCCTAAATAAGAGTTATTTCCCATACCTTTTTGAATATTTTTCTTCTTTCTTCAGGAAAGGTCTCTAGAGATTCCATTTTCCGACAAAATTTCTGATGTAGGAATCTTAACTTATCTAGCAATCTAGCGATCCAATTAAAAATTACATAGGGTTTTCTATGTCCTGCCTGTCAATGCAATACCCTGTCAAAAGTCAAAAAGTCTCCATATTGGTCTAAATTGCTGTATATTATAATATAAACTCATTTTGGTGATGGTAAATAACTATTTACGAGTCGAAAAGACTCAAAATCGATCGATGCTGGTCTGGGCAGTTGTATATTACTTAATAAGATTCTGCTGGTGGTAAATTGATACTTACCAGTCTCAAGAAGTATCCATAATTGGTCTTAATCTATATTATAATATAGACTTATTCTGCTGGCGGTAAATAAATATTTGCCTGTCAGAGAGACTCAAAATCGTTCGATGCTGGTCTGGGTCATTGTATATTACTAGATAATACGATTCTGCTGGCGGTAAGTAAATATTTACGAGTCAAGAAGTCTCCATATTGCTCTAAATCGCTCTATATTATAATATAGACTCATTCTGCTAGCATTAAATAAATATTTACCAATCAAGAAGTCTCCATATTGGTCTAAGTCGCTCTATATTATAATATAGACTCATTCTGCTAGCGGTAAATAAATATTTACTACTCAAAATCAATTGATGTTTGTCTGGGCCGTTGTATATTGCTAGTGCTAGCTTGATATCAAGTTAGCACTACCAACGTAACCCGATATTTCTACAGAAGTTTTACTGAGTGAATTATTTGTCGCTTTTTTGTTGTAAATTTGTTGTGCAAAAAAAAAATTGTCACTTTTTTTTTCCCGAAATACTGCTGGTAGTGCTAGCTTGATATTAAGTTAACACTACCAACGTCACCCGATATTCCTACAGAAGTTTTACTGAGTGAATAATTTGTTGCTTTTTTGTCGTGCAAAAAAAAATGTCGCCTCTATTACTTAGGATAAGAATCGCTGAAAATTTCAACTTTCTATCTATCTTAGAAAAAAAGTTATGACCTTTCAAAGTTTTCAGAAATCTAAATCCTAAGGTTTGCCTGGCAAAGTTCTTTAGCGGTCGGCTTTTCTTATATGACCCAGTAGGCTTAATCCACTTGGAATCACATTGTGCTGCTGACATCCAGCAGCAAATCATAATTCAACCATTTCTCGCCGGCATTCGGTAGTGCCCCACTGCTACACTTACCTTAAATAGTATAATCGTGCAACAAATGGGATCCTAACCTATTATGGTGGACGGCTTCCCCAGGGGACACCAATTACCAAAAAGAAATAATCAAACCACGAATTGTTGTCCTGGATGTCAGTGAAAAGCAACTTCAATTGGTAAAAAATGGTAATCATTTAAAGAGAAACAGAAAACATTCTCAGCCAATTTCTCAAAGCCCAATACCAAACTTGCTCAACTAGAAGTAGCTTACCAAAGTTCTGATTTCTGTACCTATCACCCTTAAAAAAAACAGGAGGTAAATTCCTTTGGAAAGTTTATAAGAGCATAACGGGACTTTTCTAGGACCTGTGGCGTGACTGAAGGGCAGGATCAGAAGGCTATGAATAGTTGTTGGTACTTACGGAATTTAAAAATTTGTACATGACTACTTAATTATTAGAAAATTTGGTCAAGAATGCTCACTAAACTAGAAATGCTTATATACATAATTATTATTTTTTTAATAGCTTATTCCTCCATGGTATATAATTATAGTCTACTGCCGAATTCCGAATGACGAATATTATTGAAATAGATAAGAAAAGAAAGGAACAAGCTTGTTTACATTACCCTGGTCCCTTTTTTTTATTACTTCATAGTGATGATTCATCAATTAGGTATAATAATATTGAAATAAATAAATCCTTGCTGAAATGCACCAAACATCAATTTCAGATTGTTTCGAAAATGTGTTGAAAAACCTGGAATAATTCTGAATTTGAGAATGATCATTATTCCAGCGGCAAAAATCAAGAATTACCAAAACAATTATCATTATTTTTTTTTATGTAAGTATCAACTGTGCTTATCATATGCATCAGATATTATGTACTGGTATTACTATGTAGATAATATGTACTAAAATAATGAAATTTCAATTTTTTTTATGTTGAGATTTTGTGTCTAAATGATCATCCTGGACCCCTCAAACTCGATACACTAAATTATTCTGAGGTTTGAAGCTGACATCTGTGAGAAAAGGCACTCAGCAACAAATTCACTTAATAAAACTTCTGTTGGAATATCGGGTGACGTTGGTAGTGCTAACTTGACATCAAGCTAGCATTACCAGGGTATTTAGGAAAAAAAAAACGCGATAATTTTTTTTTTGCAGGACAAATTAACGACAAAAAAGCGACATATTAATCACTTAACGCCATTTTCCGGCGTGCATGTGGTATTAATAATAATAATAATTATTATTTTCTTTATTCAAGATCATAATACAATAATATCGGGTCTTCAAAAAAAAATCAATTAAAGATTGCTATGGTTTTTCAAATGTATGTCTTAGCAATATTTTCCTTAATTTTGTTAATGAACTTTAATGTCAAAATGTCATGTGAAAAATCCCGACCAATAAAGAAACAATAATCCGACGTACGTTTTCGTAAGATCGGCAAGAGTGAAAAAATCAAAAATATGGAAAATAATTACAACAAAATAGCAACACATTCTCAACTAAATTTTTTCGAATCCTGCTGGGGTTGTCATGCTGGGTTGACAGACATCCTAATGCTTTCATATATGACAGATTTTTTTACCAGTGTGGAGTGGGGTATGGGTAACAGTAAGTTGGACGCAATGGGACATAAGTCTCGGCCGATTTTTGTAGACAAGTGTGACTGTTTCCAAAATAAACAGACTGTATATAGTTAGGATTTTCTATTTCTTAAATTAAGGTCTGCAGTGATCTCTATTGTTGGCAGCACAGATGTACCTAAGAGCCCGCTTCTGTAATATAAAAACAGAGTCCAGCAGATTCTGGGAACAGAGCCCCCAAAAGCAGATTCCATATCTTAACCTTGACTCAATCAAGGCAAAATAGACCGATCTGGACAAGGAACGTCTCAGTTCAATGGCCGTTATTCTGAATGCAAAGCACCCAGATGATATTTTTCTTGAAAGACTGACAATGTGAGATTTAAAACTCAATAAAGAGTAAGAGTATATGCCCCAACAAACTCCTATCCCCATAGCGACCCCTTAGATGCAACACCTATGTGACAGTATTATTTATCTTGTTGATTTATAATTTTGTTTTCCATTTGGTGTTGAATTAAATGGATTTTAGTTAACAGAGAGGCAGCCCATATAACATCCTACCATCTTCAGCCCCAAATTTTTAAGTCAACGTTTTTCCAGTTGTTAAAAAGGACCATAATAAATATTCAGTGACTATATTCATTTCAAAAAGTAACTGGGTTATAGTTACGACTTGTTTAAAAATGGATTTCATCTTGAAGATTATAAACTGCTTATATGATTTCATAACATTCAATAAAAATTAAATTAGGCCTCAAAAAAAAATTGTCAGCCATTGAAACAAATCACCATAATTCAGAATACTCTGCTCTATGAGTAGGTGCATCATGCTTGAGAACTTTTTCAATCTCTGGCAAGTTGCACCAACGCACTTGAACAATAAATGACAATCTGCTGCATGCCGACTCTAGAGCCACCACCCACTCTTTTGGGCTTTGAACGAAAAAGAATTATTTTAGATCTAAATTTTAGAATTCAGCATATTTGCAATCTACGGTTTTAGGTACAACATAATAAAGTTTCGTCTCGAGTTTCGTTTTTCAAGAAAATAACTAGGTAACTGGTTTAAATTTTCAACTCGCTTTGCAATTTCAGAACGCTAATTTTTGAAAAATCTTACTGCTACTATCGCCTTAACAAACACCAGGAGGCGCTGGAAACGATAGCCAAATGTGAATCGGAGCCTGATCTGCGCACCAAAGAATTGCAAGCGCAAATTTTCTACAGGTTAGAACAGTACAGAGAGGCGCATGTAATTTACCAGAACATCATCAAAAACACTGACGATGACTACGAAGAGGAACGTCTGACAAATTTATATGCCACTATGGTATTTTTGGAGGAAAACGAAAGGGTGAGAAAGGACCAAAACTGTTTTCGTATTGGTCAAAAGCAAGGTCAAAAGATTGACAAGTTTTTTGATCAATAATGACAATTGTTTTTTCAGGCTGATCTTGACGAGCTAAGAGAGACTCCTTACGAGTTGTGCTACAATAAAGCATGTATGCTGATTGCTTCCGAAAATTACCTGGAAGCTGAGAAAAAATTGAAACAATGCGAAAAATTGTGCAGGGACAAATTGGAGGAAGATGACATAACTGAAGAGGAGGTTGACATCGAGTTGGCGCTAATTCGGTGAGTCCTTACAATTTATTCTGCGTACCTATTTCTGAAAGGTTTACCAGAAAATTTTAAATAAAAAACATGTAGCGAATTGTTTCTAGTTTAACGATATATAGTTATTTTATACTGTTTAGTATAGTAAGAGAAAGTAGCTAACATTCTAAAACTGTGCTTAACTGCATTTACCCTAGTTATGATTTTTTTTTAACCTTATGTCAACAAATCTGCTGTAAGGCATTTATGGTATTTTTTTGTGGTTGTGCATCCCACTGTTATAAAACATTACCATGTTGGATTTTTTTTCAAAAGGTTATTCTTGGAGGTGCTGCGTATGTTGTCATGTACTTGGAATGCTTTTAGTTCCAAACAGACTGAAAATTCACAAAGGTTGTTCATGAAATATGTTTTATATTGTTTTAGAATCCAGCTTGCTTACGTGTACCAAAAGCAACAGCGCATAAAAGAAGCTCAAGTCCTTTACACGTCGACCTTGAAACTTAAACTCCAAGATGTTGCCACACAAGCTGTAGCCTGCAACAACATCGTTGTCATAAACAAAGACCAGAATTTGTTCGATTCAAAGAAAAAAATGAAAATCGCCTTAAATAACACACTTGTGCACAAACTGCCAGCCTCCCAACGTAAATATATCGCCTTGAACAATGCCATTTTGAATTATTATATTAATCAAGCTGACCAATGCGAGAAAGCTTGTAAAGTCCTCGAGTCTCAGTGGCCTGAATTTGCCCATCAAGTCATGATTTTGCGCTCCTTGAACCTGATTAAGGCAGATAAAATCAGTGAGGCAATCAAGTTGCTGCTCGATAATCAAAATACTCACCAGGAAAGTCGTGATATTTATGTGGATTTGTGTATGGCTCAGTTTTACCTGATGAAGGGTGATAAAATGGAGGCCTGTCGGGTTTTGGAGAATCTGGGGGATGATGGAGCATTTAGGCCTGGAATTGTTGGAGCTCTAACTACTCTGTATTTAGCTTTAGGGTATGAAAGAGCTGCACTAGCTGTTTTTGAGAAGACAGTGCAGTTTTATAAGAAAACAAAGGTGAGAAAGGTGCTAGTTAAATTATCACAAGAATGTTAAAAGAGCATCTACTTTCATATGGAAACTGGCCCTAGGTTAAAAATTTCATAAATTTTTAATATATGCAATAAGATTACCTGGATCAAATTCTCTCCATGAGAGTATTATTCAATCCTAAGAGTAGGTTTGGTGCTAGACTTATTTAGCTAAAACATACATTAAGAGGATTGAGTTTGGGTTGCTATGCATTTTCCAATCTAATGTTGTTCACTAATCTCCTATACTTTTGCCAGAAGGCGTCTAATCAATAATATCTCACTTTTAGATTGCCAATTATATTTATGACAAAAAAAAACAATTAATTTTTTTTATGTGAATAATTGCTAGATACAATTTGTCTATCCAGGTCATTTTCTATTTCTGTTCTGTAGGACTTCAAGGGGATGGCGCCACTTGATATTGGGCTCACACCTATGATGGCATTATGGTTGCTATTCAATCTTGTTTCCTTATGGAGAAGCTCACTATTAATATACTGATTTCAATTTTTTCAATTTCGATTGATCAAAACCAATAAGTTCGAAACCAGTATGAAGTTGGTGAAGTATCCAATAAATGGAAACTTGAATTTCTCTTAATTTTTTTACAAAGCACAACCTCACGCAATGCATATTCTAGCAGTGTCTAGGAGCGATAAAACCTCATAATATGAGTTTATAATAGTGGAATCCCCCCTTAATGCGTGTACTGTCACTTTTCCACCTTTAAAATATTCTGATTAGATTCGCCACCCAAGAGGATGCTCTTCATTTATTGTTAGATCAATTTTACACTCGAGTCAATCAAACCAGGATTTAGGTTGCTTATTCACATCCCCAAATGTTGAGGTTGAAGTCTCATTCCTGATTACTGGAAATGCTGAATGTATGATCATCGCCCCCTTTCAACTGCCATAGCTTCATTTTTATCGCCACTTGAGTACCAGACCTAAAATCTTAAGGCGGTTACACACGGACGTGGATGTCTTGATACATATACGTGCATACATCAACATGCAAACAACAACGTGCATGTTGCGTTTGTACAGACGCTCGCACAAAACTGCAGTCTTGCTATTCTTGCTACAGTGTTCGGAGTGTGCATACAAAATTTCTAGCGATTGCACATTCAAAAACGCGACGGTATTTTGCATACACATTGATGTTTTTGTTTGCTCGTTCATGTATGTGTGTACATGTTTTCAGACATCCACGTCCGTGTGTAACCGCCTTTAGGGAAATATGACAAGACAAAAACTGTAGAATCTAAGCGATTTAAGTGGGTATCTTCTAAACCAAGTTATGGTAGCTGTTTCTTGTTATATTTTGCATCAAGAATAGAAAAATTGCCATAAATATCCATGGTCCATGTCCAGCGTTAGTAGATTAATTTTGTATCATTGACTTTATAATAGTAATAGAAAAATACAAAGGATCGGGTCTCGGATCAAGTATTCTTGATAGATAATAATCAATCTCTACAAAAAAGGTATACCTAGCTGGTTAAAAAAATTAATTTTTATTTTCAGGTCAAAGCAGCAGATTTATCCAGTTTCTGGCGTCAAGCGGCCGATTTCCACATCAGAAATGGTCATCCTCAAGTAGCTGCAAACAGCCTGGAAGAGTTGCTGTCTGTCAATAATGATGACAACAAAATCACTGCCCAATTAACCCTCGCTTGCGCCCAGTTTGACAAAGAACGCGCCCTAAAACTCGCAAAACAATTGCCAACAATCAAAGAACTATCCCAAGATATCGATTTGGAGAATATTCAGTTGCTGACAGCTGTGAATTTGAAAAAGAGCCCTGCTGTTGGTAAAACTGATTCGTCATTGCCAAATACTCCAAGAATGGATGAAAAAAAAAAGAAGAAGCACCACCATCGAAAAGGTAAACTGCCTAAGAATTATGACGCCTCAGCGCAACCAGATCCGGAACGTTGGTTACCGAAATATGAGCGCGCAGGTTACAGAAGAAAACGTGACAGAAGGTTGGCCAAAGATGTTATTAAAGGGTCCCAAGGGACTTCGTCTGGACAGAGTGAACAGTTCGACTTTTCCAGCAAAAAAGTTGAGGAAATTGGCTCTGATAGTGTTACAGAACCTTCTCCGAAAAATAGGCAACAGAAAAAAGGCGTTAGTCAACAGAAAAAGAAAAATAAACGCCGCTAGATTGGGCTGTTAGTTTGTTTAATTTTTTGTTTGTTTATGTTGTTGATGCTATATTAAAACTATATTGAATATTGGCCGAGCACTATTTTTTAAAAGTATATTTATAGATTTATAGATTAATTCAGTATGTATAGGGTGATCTATAACAAATGTCACCTCTCCTAACTTTTGACATTTTAAAAACTTTTAACAATTTCTTAAAACTTTTGTATTTGACACTTTTGTCAAAAACGTCAAATGTTAGGTGGGGCCGGTGGGGGTGACATTTATAATAGATCACCCTGTACGCAGATTTTTAGCTCAAATTTAATTTGCCCCAAAAATCATCATATTTAAAGATAATTGAGTGCGATTTAAATTAGGGTGTTTAAAGCTGGGTACGCATATGAGCATGAACGCGAATGAGGCAATCCGAGGCCGAACCATTTGCCTCGGATTCGGGAAGAAATAAATTTTTGGGTGACCTGAATAGTGGACGCACGAGGCGTCGTACGTAATCGATTCATAAATATGTGGTGAGCATTCTTGTTGTTATTAATTTAAATTTTTAATCGCGTTCATCTCAAAACAACATGTGGACCGCCTCGACCTCGAAATGAATTTTTTAAAATTTCCATCCACACTGAGCACATATCGTCGCCTTCCTTGCAAAGGGGCCTATCTCATTTTTTGATTTTTCAGGAGAGAAAAAAGTACATATATTATTTAAGATTATTTTTGTGCCAAATCTGAGATAGGCCTAATACTGAAAAAGGCGTATCTTCGAGATTACCTATATTTGAGATACGCCTTCAGGGTAGTTGCAGGTAACTGTTTTGATGCCTCCCAAGGGCCTAACACAATTTAGCAATTTTTTGAGATAAGCCTCTTTGTAAGGAAGGCGACGATATGAGCAGCGCACGAGCAGATGCCTCACTTTGATGTACCGACAACAATTAGATCGGGTCGTGGCCAAATGCATGCGGGTTCAAACAAATTTGCACGCCTCGTTCAGACGTACACATACGTATGCTCATGCGTCCTCGGGCTGCCTCATTCGCGTTCATGCTCATATGCGTACCCCGCTTTAGATTATTTTCCCTAGTCCAGACTGGAGCTGTTTATTTTCAATTTAACAAATGGCTCCAATTCTTATAAACAATTTTCAGCAATTTCCCATATCCTGAATATTTATTTTGTAAATGAAAACATGAACAAAAACGTGAAGAAGACACATAATTTTTCTCAATAATGATAATATTATGCATATAATAATATAAGGGCGGCGGTGGCCTAGCGAATTAAGGTGCTGGCTACATAGGTCTATGCACTGGGTTCGAAGTTTGAACATACTCCTCAGTCAGTAATCTGCACTAATAGTGACAACAGGTAGTGCCCTCCAAGGGCACACACCTGAAGCTCCTGGATAACTGATTGACCTTTGGAAGCCCCCAATTAAACTGTATGTCCCAAGGACCTTCCTGATTGTCCCAGGAGCAAAAATGGAGGATAAATTCATAAACAACAATTATAGAAAATATCTGTAATATGCTTCTTGCAAAATGTTTTTAAATGTTTTCGAATGTCTACTAAGTACATAAATCAATCTGTAAATAGTCTGAGATCATTCATTTCATTTGTCATATTTAACATTGAAATTTGCACCCAAATGCCAGAGAAAATAGGGTAATCCTACAAGCCGATACTGACGTCATCGTCATCAACTAGTAGTGTGTGAACAAATTGCATATCTCCTACTATTTTTAGACAATTTATTCATACAAATTATTTGTAGAAATATGAAATGTGCAAGAGGCCTATTATTGACTTTGTCTAAAATCTAACAGCAAATCAATGTCAATTTATATCATTGGAATGTAATGTATAAATCTTATAGGAATTATTGAAATACCGAATACAATTATTTGTTAAGATTTTTAACGACTTTCAAGTAGACTGGGTGTAAAATAAAATAAAAAAAATAGGACATCTATGATGTAGTGTATTAATTTCAATAAAAAAAGACGTAGGGCAGGATGATAACCTACGACCTGGAGCAATAAAATGTTTTAGAAAACGGCCAATTATTAACGACACAAGAAATAGATAATTATAACAGTGGCGAGGGGGCGGGCGGACCGCCCCGGGCGCCACTTTTAGGAGGGCGGCAATTAATTGCCGCTTCTTGCACCCTTCAAGACTTGCCTGTAACCAACATCATCATTGAAGTGAAAACTTTAGGCGCGTTTAGCAAAACAAAACGAATTGTTAACGCTCATTCCGTTGGATACAGTCGGCTCGAGTCGAGTTCAGCCAAGCAAGAGAAAAAAACAGTCAGTAGTGCGGGAAAGAGAGATAGCGCGATTGGGATTCAATCGCGACTCCCCCTAGAACAAATTCCGGTGACGTTGCCTTTCTACAAGTGGTCGGGACGTTACATATCGACAGATTCAGAATCCCACCCAGGCAACCTATCTCTTTTATGGCCGAATTTATAGTCGTTCCTTGAATCTTTCTTGGAGTCGCGAGTTTAGAATAGACACTTTCTACTATTTGACAAGTTAGTCATGTCAATTCTAAATGCTCAGGGCTTCCTCAAGGACAAGGATAAATTTGGTCCTTGAACAACCTTGATTCAAACCGCAAATGCCAGGATTCAATATAGTGGCAATTGCCAAGCATCTGTGATGTTTGTTTATTAAACCTACGTTTTATTGATTTTTGAAGTTTTCTCATATGTCGTTTGAAGCGCACACCGTATTGGGGGTTCGGTAATTGCATCTATGCATCTGCGAGCAAAATATGACAGAATGTCACGTGATTTGACATGTGAAAAAAGATAAGTGATCACGTCACGACCATCAAAATTTGCTCGCAGATGCAATGTTCGAACCCAGTCCGTTTTTTTTTTATGACGTCAAAGGGGCGGCAAATTATGGTTCCGCCCCGGGCGACAATAGCCTATGCTACGCCACTGAATTCTAATCTTTAATACTTGTTCTTACTTTATCAAGGTATTCATGATCGTCAGCTCTACTAAGAAAATAATATTTGTGGATTTACAACAGTATACTGGTTTTTTAGGGCTTGTATTCCTCAACTTTCCTTTTCAGCAAAAGTATTTCTCATACCTACTATTTTGTTAGGTAATTTATGAAGAAGTCCGCTATTTTGAATTTTTCTCAAATGTCAAGTTTCACTTTGATTCGTTAGCCTGTTCAATTCTCTTTCAAACAAGCCAATACAAAAGGAAATTGCGTAACAACAAAAAAAGTTACAGTTCAAAAAGAAAATTCCGTTTTTTTAAAGCCCACCCTATATATTTTTTCTGTGTATAATAATTTTCAACATTGTCGATAGGTATGACCCATTTCTTCTTTGGTGTCATAAATTCAATAATTCCAGACACAGAATGTTTAATTTTTTTTTGCAAATATGTTTAGGTGAAGATATATTTAATCCTACAACTCCCACAAAATTGTTGTTACAAATTGAACTTATTTATTCTAGTCCAACAAAAATTTAAAATACACCTTCCAAAACGCCCAAAACGTTGTGTCGACTATTTTACAAAAAAAAAACCTCCTAATTTATTAAAAATTAAATATTTTTTTATTAGAGTTTAACATTTCTTCTTTTTCACCGCTTTCTTGAAACTTTCATCCTCTCCTGACTTTCTTTTCCTTTTTTTTTGTTTATCCCCTTCTAAAATACTATTGAACCTTTCCGAACCATTATCAATTGTTTCTAAAGCACTCAAAACACCCACCTCAACATTATTTGATATTATGCCTTTTTTCTTTCTCTTTTTTGTTTTCTCTTCAGTTTCTCTCTGTTTAATAATCACTTTATTGAGCCGCTTTTTCACGTTCTTATCAAGCTTTATCCTTTCCTGATAATCAGTCCCGAACAAGGGATGCCGCTCTTTGATGGCTTCTGGAAACAATACGTTATTTCTCTCAGGAACTTTCAGGTTTTGTAAAACCAATTTTGGTACGAATTGTTGCAGGGAAATAATGCTTTCCAGGATGACCAGTTTGGGTTGGTGCAAATTGACCAGGACAGGGTCGGGTTTATGGGGCAAAGGTTCAAAAATGTACTCTTTTCTGTTTAGGATATTTAAAGTGGGTTTATTCAGGTGCAATTTCAGGTTGATTAAAGATTGAGGCTCAATATTTTTTGGTAGGAGGAGCAAGGAATACTTCGCGTTATCAGGAAGTTTCAAACTAAGGTTTTGCTTTTGAAATTTTGGATATTTTTCCCGTAACATCTCAGTCCAACTCTGAAAGGAATAGTTGAAATAATTTAAAATAAAATGACTTGAAAAAATGAACCCTTACCTTTTGGTTTTTTCGAATATATGATGAAATTATAGATTGGTCCCTATTCTCTGAGAGAGAAATGTCCCTTGTGTCCACTTCTGAGAATGCACCTATATCAGAATCTTCTTGTTTGATTAATGTAATTGGTTTAGGAACATTTTGGTATTCGGATTTATTGGACTGCCTTTTTTTGTATGTAACTTTTTGCTTCTCGAGAACCAAACTTGATTTTTTGGTAGCTACTTTTGGTTCTCTTTCTTCTTCTGTACTACTTCTGGATTCACTTAACTGGCGGTTTTTAATTGGCATTGGAACCGAGACTGATTTTTTGTTAGTTATTTTTTGTTCTTCAGCACTACTTCCAGATTCACTTGATCGTCGTGTTTTTATTGGTTTTGGAACCAAACCTGATTTTTTGTTACCTACTTTTGGTTCTGGTTCTTTTTCTGAACTACTACTGGATTCGCTTGACTGTCGTTTTTTCATTGGCATTGGAACCGAGACTGATTTCTTGTTAGTTATTTTTCGTTGTTCTTCTGCACTACTTTCAGATTCACTTGACTGCCGTGTTTTTATTGGTTTTGGAACCAACAATGATTTTCTGTTAGCTGCTAGTTCTGGTTCTTCATCTGAACTACTCGTGGATTCACTTGACTGTCCTTTTTTCATTGGTTTTGGAACAGAGACTGATTTTTTGTCAGTTATGTTTTGTTGTTCTTCTTCACTACTTCCAGATTCACTTGACTGCTGTGTTTTTATTGGTTTTGGAACCAACAATGATTTTCTGTTAGCTGCTAGTTCTGGTTCTTCTTCTGAACTACTCGTGGATTCACTTGACTGTTGTTTTTTCATTGGTTTTGGAGCAGAGACTGATTTTTTGTCAGTTATTTTTTGTTGTTCTTCTCCACTACTCCCAGATTCACTTGACTGCTGTGTTTCTATTGGTTTTGGAACCAACAATGATTTTCTGTTAGCTGCTAGTTCTGGTTCTTCTTCTGAACTCTTTGTGGATTCACTTGACTGTCGTTTTTTCATTGGTTTTGGAACAGAGACTGATTTTTTGTCAGTTATGTTTTGTTGTTCTTCTTCACTACTTCCAGATTCACTTGACTGCTGTGTTTTTATTGGTTTTGGAACCAACAATGATTTTCTGTTAGCTGCTAGTTCTGGTTCTTCTTCTGAACTACTCGTGGATTCACTTGACTGTTGTTTTTTCATTGGTTTTGGAGCAGAGACTGATTTTTTGTCAGTTATTTTTTGTTGTTCTTCTCCACTACTTCCAGATTCACTTGACTGCTGTGTTTCTATTGGTTTTGGAACCAACAATGATTTTCTGTTAGCTGCTAGTTCTGGTTCTTCTTCTGAACTCTTTGTGGATTCACTTGACTGTCGTTTTTTCATTGGTTTTGGAACAGAGACTGATTTTTTGTTAGTTATTTTTTGTTGTTGTTCTGTGCTACTTTCAGATTCACTTGACTGTCGTGTTTTAATTACTTTTGAAACCAAGAATGATTTTTTGTTAGCTACTGGTTCTGGGTCTTCTTCTGAACTACTTCTGGATTCACTTGACTGTCGTTTTTTCTTTGGTTTTAGAACCGAGACTGATTTTTTGATAGTCATTTTTTGTTGTTCTTCTGCACTACTTTCAGATTCACTTGACTGTCGTGTTTTTATTGGTTTAGGAACCATGAATGATTTTCTGTTACTTGCTAGTTCTGGGTCTTCTTCTGAACTACTTCTGGATTCACTTGACTGTCGTTTTTTCATTGGTTTTGGAACAGAGACTGATTTTTTGTTAGTTATTTTTTGTTGTTCTTCTGCACTACTTCCAGATTCACTTGACTGCCGTGTTTTTATTGGTTTTGGAACCAACAATGATTTTCTGTTAGCTGCTAGTTCTGGTTCTTCTTCTGAACTACTTCTGGATTCACTTGACTGTTGTGTTTTAATTGGTTTTCGAACAGAGACCGATTTTTTGTTAGCTATTTTTTGTTGTTCTGATTTTTTGTTAGTAGCTACTGTTGGTTCTTCTTCTGAACTACTTCCGGATTCACTTGACTTTCGTTTTTTTATTGTTTGTGGAACTGAGACTGATTTTTTATTAGCTATTTTGTGTTGATCTTCTGAACTACTTCTGGATTCACTAGACTGTCGTTTGTTTATTGGTTTTGGTATGAAACCAGATTTTCGGTTACCTACTTCTGATTCTTCTTCTGAGCTACTTATAAATTCATTCGACTGCGATTTTTTGAATAATTTTGTAATAGAAACTGATTTTTGGTTAGCAATTTTTTTTTGTTCTTCTGAACTACTTCCAGATTCACTTGACTGGAGTTTCTTCATTTGTTCTAGAACTAAACCTGTTTTTCTGTTAGCTACTTTTGGTTCCGATTCTTCTTCTGAACTGCTTCCGGATGCCTTTGACTGTCGGTTTTTAATTAGTTTTGGAATAGAAACCGATTTTCTGTTAGTTATTTTTTGTTCGTCTTCTGAACTACTTCCGGATTCACTTGACTTTGGTTTTTTTATTGGTTTAGGAACCAAAAAAGATTTCTCACTTGATTTCGTTTTTTTATTAATCTTTAGCTTATCAGAACTGCTTCTAGAACCACTTGAATGTAGTTTTCGGGTTGTAGATGATTTTTTCTGGATAGATGTCATTTTGGGTTCTTTATCTGAATTTTCACTTTCTTCTGATTTTATTGAATGCCGAGGCTCAGAACTGGGTTCTCTTTTTATTGGTGCTGGAACCGGGGGTTCTAACAAATGTCCATCTTTTTCCATTTTAATTCTAATTGGTTGGGGAAGAGACCCTTCATTGCTACTTTTAGAAAGTCTTTTCCTAGCCGTTATAAACTAAAATGAGGGAAATATGTTTTTTTCTTATGCATGGAACAGTTTTACAGCATTAACTTACCTTTTCCCTTCCTTTTAAATTGTCACTATAAGACTTAATGCCACTTACAATTTTCTGGGAAGTTACATTATACCTTGATATTTGATTTTCCACACTACCATTATTGGAAACTGAAATTATATTTTTCTTGGGAGAAATTTCTTCATCACAACTACTTTCTTCTGAAAATGATTTTTGTATAGTTATTGATGTTAAAGATGAACCCACTCCTGATGTAACTTTGTGTTCATCGGAGCTACTTTCTGAAGCTGTTTTTTGGTGAGTTGCGTCTTGAGAAACTATTTTTTTTTTGTTTACTCCTTTTGAAACTCGTTTTTGTCTCTTGTTGGAACTACTAGTCTCAAAATCAGGCTGGATTTGTACTTTATATGGTGTTGAGGTGATTATTTGGGGATTGCTTGACACTTTGTGGGCCTTTGATATGTTAGTGGAAAGTTTCTGGGGGCTTTTCAAAGACTTTTTCAAAGGTTTGTCTTTTTTCAATAAGGAATTTGATTTTTTATGTAATAATGTCTCCACTGAATTTGTTTCTGTATTAACAAGTGGAAAGTTATTAATATTGGCGGTTGATTCATTGGAATTTGGTTCTATTTTTATTTTTTTTGCACTTGGTACACCATTATTCAATTCCGAATTTTTCCTTTTTTTATTCTTAGGGGTTGTTTGACTATTTTCTTTGCTAAGTAGCAGGGAAATTAGCTCCTCCCTGCTCAAGTTGTTCAAATCTCCACAAGCTGCTGCTTTCTTGGAGGTTTTTGGCGAAAAATCGTTTTCAGAAAGGGACTCTTCTTTAATTTTAACTTTTGTGATGAATTTTTTGTGGCCCTCCATTGTAGTCTGCTGCAAAACATATTGAATTTTAGTTATTAAAATTGAAAAAAGCAAGATGAATAATGAAAAATAAAACTTTGTCCTGTTATAGACTTAATTTCAGAGGGTAGGTATGTTATCAGAGTGCTTTTTGGTAACATGCTATTAGCCAAGAATGGAAAAAAATGTATTTTTTTAAAGCCCTAGGAACCCATAGGGCCTGATCTAGTTAAGCAAGGTTATGTTAATTTCGAGTTACCTAACCCTTCAATTAAACCCTCGGTGGGAGGCAATGCTGAATATTCTCACATCAAGCGCAAAGCATCTATTCTATTATTACTGGAATTGCCTGATCATCCACAATTATTGAATGAAATAATGGTCGGTTTAAATTATTGAGGGAGAAAGTTAATTAGTAAGTTTTTAGTCAATCTCTCATAATTTTGAAACAAGTCACTGATTTACCAACGCTAAAACTGAAATATGTACTATGTTGACATAATAAGAAAATGTTAAAAAAAAAAGAAAAAAAACTAAAAATTTGGTATGCCAGTCACATACCATATGTAAGAATTTTGAAGACCTAAATAAATATGGATAGACCAATGAAACCAGTATTTGTACCCCAATATTATCAACATAAGATCCTGTGCGAAATGAAATGAGGAAAGTTTAGGTTTTGCGATGTTCTGATCTGATGCAAATTGCAACTACAGTGTTGCAAATTTATCTATACAGGAAACAAAACCATTTGTATGAAAAACCCGAGAAAAACACATTAAAACCATCATAGTTTTATAAAAATTCTACATAATTATGCAGGTAAAGGTTGGAGGTAAGGTTCTAGTGACTTATAGCTCCCAACTTCTATGGAATTATTTCGCAGGCATTTCACTTAAATGAGACTCAAAAACAATTTGAAACAAGAAAGTGTTCCATTTGAAAAAGGTTTTTCACGTTTTTGGTGGATTTACATTTCCGAGGATCTTCTCTTTGAGGTTTGGCGAGCGGAGCTTGAAATCGAAGACTCAAAAATAATTGAAATTTCAAGAAGGTATTATTTAAAACAGGTTTTTTTCGTTTTTTGGTGGATTTACCTTACTGGGGATCTTCTGTTTGAGATTTGGCAAGCGGAGCTTGAAATCGAAGACTCAAAAATAATTTAAATCTCAAGATTCCATAACTGGTGTTTGCCAACCAAAAATGCTGAACGTTATTGTTTGTGTTTCAAGCAATAGGTACTTGAGGAGGTCAGGATTTTATCTAGAGCACATACAGATATTTATAACATCTAGGTGCTAAAAAATAAATCTTATTTAATATGAATTTAATTAAGATTTAATTCCGAGGTTAATTCAATCAACTTTTGAATCGAAACTTTTATGATCAATAAATGAAATGATCAAATGAGTATCCTGGAATATATAGACCAATTTATGTGGTCTCAAATTTATCGAAAACCTGCCAAAGACATCACTGAAAAATTCAGCTTTGATACACAGCTGATAGTGACTGATAGTAGGGAATTTTCGTAGTTGATTTTCGAAAGGTGTGTCAAATCCGTCAATTTTGAATTTAATTTTGTCAAGGATGTGCATTTTCCGCATTTATTTATAGCTTGAACGTTTCTATTTGATGGAATTTTTCTCAAAAAAAAATTAAAAATGCTGTTTATATTGGGACCTATAAGTCACCAGACCCAATAATGGTTTGAATCTTCACACATACTTACTTAACTTTCTCCAGAAAGCTGTACGAAAATCAAGAACCAATGAGCAAAATTAGTAAAATAGTAAAACAAATATTAGGTTTGGTTGATGATGGAGCAGGGGAAAATATATATATTTTTTTTTTGGTAGTCTAATAACTTTCTCCACAAAGCTGTGCTGCAAATTTGAAAATAAGTGTGAACAATATTGAAAAAACTATGGAAGAATTTAAGATTTTCTTGCTTACATGCAGGGAAAGCCACAAGTTGCCCCCCATTCAAAATAGGCTGTTATTTCTGGGGTGAGCAAGATTTGGTTTGGGCTGTGCAAAATGTTGACAAAAATCTTTTTTTTAAAATCAAGGCAGCATAGGCAGGACAAACCTGAACGACCCCAATACATTTGTGAGATTTAATGCTTCCTTTGAAAAACAAGTGCCCTATTCAATAACACAAATTTAACTGCGTATTCTGCAAATTATAAGTAAGTAGAGTAGAGGACACTTTAGCATTGGCCGGATATTTTCTTTACCGCCTGGGCGCCTAGATATTCAAGAAAGCACGCTCCCGATTTGTCAGGTCAAATGTGCCTGATAAAAATTAAAATCAAATTCATTGTAATGTAGCATAATTTACCTTTTCCTGTCCTTTTTTTGTTTTTAGTTTTATAGGTACACTATTTTTGAGTTTTGACACAATTTTTGCATGAGGTATTAGTGGGGTTATGTTGAATGGTTTAGCTTGAGCCTGAGGAACGATCGGAAATTAGGGCGATTTTTCGCGAGGACAACCAAACAATTTGCTGGATAATGTGATGTGTCATTTGTGTCATACTCCCCTAACTGCCCCACTATGAAATTCTGGCATACTCTTGAGTACGTTCACAGTCGAACGCCGGACGCTTACCGAGTGCACACCGAGCGCGTCTTTTGCAGGGTTAAGTCGTTCACGGATCTACCTAATTCACCCGGTTAAAATATTTGCTCCGTTCACAGAGCCATGATAACTTTACCCGGTTGTACAACTTTTTAACCCACTCTGAGACATGGGTAAAATTTGTCGCGCAGGCGTTTTACAAGAATATTTGAAATTTGATAAACAATACTGTTGGTAATCTTTCTAGGCCATACATTGCTGACTTCAACTGGTTTTCAAGTTTTCCAGGAAGCCAGTTGAAAGCCTCTCTGGAAACTCTAAAATTTTCCTGGAACTCCTTATCACTATAATTGCGTATTGTTGCCATAAAATTATCCTGTTTTCCAATATGCCTTTTTTCAGGTTTGAAACATAAACTGATAGCGCTAGCACATGCAGCTTCTGCTACAGCATAGCTGAGTTGTTCCTCTGTAGCAGACGAATCCGAAGAAGTTTCAGTAGTACTTTTAAATAATATTATTCCCAGATCTATCTCGAAACATTCGAAACACAACGTATGTAAACAAAAGGAAAAAAAAATCAAATCCTACTTCGTTATGGCGCAGGCGTTAGTCGTTCACGGATTTGTCATCCCAAGCGCATCCTTTTCAACCAGTCAAATATTTAACTTGGTTAAGTTTTACCCAGGGTAAACCACTGTGAACGCGCCCCAAGGATCAAGAACACAATTTCTTCTGTGAGAACCGACCGAAAATTGCCTATTCTACATAAAAACTCACTAGCACAGCCTGAATCGCAAGCATTCCATCGAGGTCTGCGGGTGACGTCATCACTATATGCTGCTGATAGTGACGTCACTCGCAGGGCCAAAATTTGATGGGAGGGAGTTAGGGGAGTATGACACAATTGACACATCACATAACCCAGCATAGATTGCTTGATTAACCTGGCGAAAAATTGCCTATTGGATAGGAGTGAAGGCATGTCACTGAATTGGGGCATGAGAAGTGAGATTGGTAAGGAATAATGGCCGTTTGCACCCAAGGAGGATTGCTTATCGGCCTAGTTTTTGGTAATCGCCGCCATATTGGTGTATCACCATTTCCGACGTCATAACTAAAGCCTAGTACTCATAACTGCGAAATTCGGATTTTTTTGACATTGCTTCGACAATTTGACGTTTGATACACGCATAAAACGTCAAATTTTCAACGCAATGTCAAAAAAATGCGAATTTCGCAGTTATGAGTACTAGACTTAAGTCGTCAGCTGTTAGAGGAAGATGAAAACGAGATCTAAGCTGTTTTCTCGCGGTGGAACTGGTTCGATCCGGTCCCATTAGGTTCGAACCTGTACATTCTTGCGTCGAACCAGTGACGTCACATTGAGCCTGGTTCAAAAAAGTTCGAACCGTACTCATGGCGTGTTCTCCGTTGAAATAAGACTGCGGTTCAAACCTTCCATTTTCTCGCGTTCTCAAGTGATGACGTCATCTATAAATTGGTTTAAACCAAGAGTCGTAAACTCTACAGGATTGCTCAATCCCATAGACATACGTTCATAAAAATATCGAACATGGAGGAATGCGAGTAACGTTACGCAGTCCTTGATCGGTTTGTTTTTATTATGACAGTGCATTTTCCTTGCATTTTCAAACGTGAAAAATTGTTATTTTGAGGTTATTTCCTTTGAAAACTGTGTTTTTTAAATTAAACAGACTTCAAAAGTTTGTGTGCTTGAGTCGTTAGCTAATCACGGAGACGAGTTTGTTTGTTCTCTGCTTATCAGCAAGGTAATTTCAAAATACCCGCATAAATATTATATTAAAATGTGCATGCATTTCTTTTACCTTTTTTTTAGGCCACAAGAAGGAAGGTACATCTATAAATTAGATATGCCTGGAATGGGATGTGCTGTGTATGGGTGTAATAACTAATAACAATTATTTTGATCAAAAAGCAAGCACTCAAAAATGTAAATTTCATCGCTTTCCTAAAGGAAAAGATTTTGTATCCAAAACCACAGATTACTTACATACAGGTGCGAAAGAGCGGCGAATTCGTGGTTCAAGATTAATTTGATAGACATAGGCTGGCCGCACCAATGCCACATCCATGTATTTTGAACATATTTATTATATAAATGCGGAAGCTCAATAATATAATATTATTTCTTTAATTGGTTCACAAACAACAAAAAAATATTTTTTTCTACCCGCAAAAATATGTAAACACACAGGCATGTTCCAGCCTCACGCACTCGGCCACGTTAATTGTCCTGACGCGGGCGATCTTTATCTATGCGTGGGGCCGCTGGCGGCCCGGCTTCGTCACAGAATATCGTCGACAGCAAGTATACGTACTTATTACGCATCTATATTAGGTGATCTGTGCCAAAACTATTCAAAACGAGTGGATATAGTATTTGTAAAAGAAAGGACAAGCTCAATGCAGATAGGTTTTTTGCATTTTATTATCAAAATATAAGCGAAACGTGGTTGCAATAGTGTGTTTTATTTTTTACTGTCTCTACCTACTTCTCAATTATTATTCAATACTTTAATACGTACTACGATTTAATATGGATATTCAAAGTAAGCTTATCTCACAAAGCCAAATAGTGATACCTAATAGAAGATTTCATTATGAATGACTTTGGCAGAAAGTCGACAAACAAAGTCACATAACCTATAAATAGCATTGTCAATGTTATTAATTTTTTTTCAATTTTGGGCTTAAATTTAATAATTATGGCAGTTTTGGGAGAACGTGATATTGTTTTATCGAGAGGCGATGAAGCGATGTGTGTTTGGTGATTGTAAAAATGATAGTCGAACGAGTTCCATTAAATTAACGACCCCATTTGCCTCCACTGGAGTTTAAGGTAACACAGCATCTTGTCAAATCTATGCTTTCGTAAGTATTCGGTGCATTCGCTATGGCTTCTTTGGTTGCAAAACGTTTGATAAAATTAACAGAAAGTGATGTGACAGGTGCTGTGTTACCTAAAACTCCAGTAGAGGCAAATGGGGTCGTTAATTTAATGGAACTCGTTCGACTATCATTTTTACAATCAACAAACACACATCGCTTCATCGCCTCTCGATAAAACATATCACGTTCTCCCAAAACTGCCATAATTATTAAATATAAGCCCAAAATTCAAAAAAAATTAATAACATTGACAATGCTATTTATAGGTTATGTGACTTTGTTTGTCGACTTTCTGCCAAAGTCATTCATAATGAAATCTTCTATTTAGATTTTCTTAATCAGAATTAGGAATTAGGCATTCCAACGACCTGTCAAAACTATTCCAAAATGGCCACCGTGGCGGAAGTTCCTCATTCCGTATATGACAGTACAGAATTTAAAGCTTTTTAAAGTGCATTGTTTGGTTGTTTTGTGACTAAACCCTATTTATTTTTTTATTTTATTGACTTCATAAGGTTTTTTTCTAATTAAAAATGCCACAAAAGTGTCTTGTAGTTGATTTTAGAAGGCGTTTCAACAAGGACGATGGCAGGTTGTTTTCAATGTCCAACCTTTCAAATTTTTCCAATTAAAACGTAAAAATTATTCAGTATCACTGATCCTGCATCTAAAATAAAGCCATACTCGAAATACTTGTATGGATCTAAGCTTTTGTAGGCCTTCATTTGCTCATTGCTGTAAAAACTAGGTCAAAATGTAAACAAATGTCATCTAAACATTTTTTCAAACTTATCGTTCGCCCACATCCCGATTTTCCTGCATTAAAGTCTTTGAATATTCACTCTGCATCTCAAAAAGTATATTATAACAAAATAAACTGTAATTAGCTCGAAAATATTCCAAATATTCTCAAAATAAACAAACAAACGTCAAATTTTCCCAATGAACTATAATTTTCCTTAGTCGCCATATTGAAAAATCACGTGGTTTGGAGAGCCTAATTCAGGAAAACACTGCAAGTTTCCCATATTTTCGATGCGTTTATATAGTAAACGCGCCAGTAAAGGAATTTATTTACATATTTATTCATTTATTTTCTCTTCACAAACACTAATTACACACGAATAAGGGAGGATTTTCATGCATCCGTTTTTCCGTCGAAATATGTCCGTTTAACATTCTATTCTGACATAATCGTATATAAATATGTCAAAATAGAATGTTAAACGGACATATTTCGACGGAAAAACGGATGCATGAAAATCCTGCCTAAAAGAAAGGTATGTCCTGATGCGACAAATCTAGTATTACAAAACCACTAAAACCAGAAAATGTTTAGGGTTTCCGCGATTATTTTTAGCCATGAGTCTTTTATGCTTTCAGACATTAAATGAAACTTTAGATTACACTTATAACACTTGATAAACTTCGAATTTACGATAAAATAATGGGCTCTTTCACTAAAATTTAAATACGTAATTTAGGTATAAAATCCCAAAGGAGGGACTATTTTAGGCACATATACCAAAAAAAAATGTTCTACAAGGTTAAATAAGTTTTTTACAGGCATTTTAAACTACCAAAATTTGAATTATTTAAAAACGCGCCGATTTGCTGACGTCGCATAAATATTTTTCATTTCGCTTGTTGTTGCAAACAGCTGTCCGCCTCTGCTGTATTTATCCTGTAGTAAATGCAGGTAAAGGTTCGAATGCGCTGTTGTCGGTGGTGACTAAATGTAGTGCAACGTAAAATAAATAAATAAAACTAAACATAGAAAATTATATTAAATTGTGTTTAAGCATAATTTCAATAAAAATGTTATAAAATCTTGAATCCATAACTAATTAATTTAACTACTTTTCATGAAATTTTGCGAACATTTCAGAATTAAATCTATTACAAATTTTCATTGTTGACAATTAGTGGCAACACG